CCCTCCCACCTCCCAGCCAGTTGCCAAGGTAGACAATGCTGATTTTTTGAAGGACTTATCCTCATCACCCATCTTTGGGATAAATAGACCTATAACTAGACTCAAGCCTCATAGGCTCCCTAAGATAAGGAAATGTTACCCATGACAAGGTGCATAATACTCCAAAAGAAATTACCTGAGTTTTCTCATTTATATGAAAAGAAATCTGGGAAAATGTGTGGGGAAGGATACTAAGGATGTGAATAAATGATGGGAGAAACATAAAGTTGGATCCAGTCATATTGCTGCTTGGGAATTTAGGAGTTTACAGTTTGGATAGGTGAACCATGAAGAAAAAATGGCCTACTGTTATAGTTTGGAAATGAGGTGTCCCCCAAAAGCTCATGTTTGAGACAATGCAGGAAGTTTCAGAGGAGAAATGATTGGATTGTGAGGGTCTTAACCTCATCAGTGAATTAATCCCTGATGAGATTGAGTGGTAACTAGAGGCAGGTTGGTTGTGGCTGGAGGAAGTGGTTAATTGGGGGGGGCACGGCTATGGGGTACATATTTTGTATCTGGAGCTGGAGTCTCTCTTTGCTTCTTGATTGCCATGATGTGAGCTGCTTTCCTCCGCCACCCTCTGCCGTCATGATGTTCAGCCTCACCTGGAGCCCCAAGTAATGGAGCTGGCCCTCTCTGGACTAAGACATCTGAAACCATGAGCCCTCAAATAAACTTTTCCTCCCCTACAGTTGTACTGGTCAGATCCTTTAGTCACAGCAGTGAAAAAGCTGACTAAGACACCCATAGTGAGCAAACTGGAAAGCTAGTCCTGCCTTGATTTAATGTAGAGGAAGGGATTGAAGGTCTTAGGAAGATTGGAATGTTAAGACTTGTCTCTTAAGACCTATTCACTCACACTAGGAGGTTGAGAAGAAGTATCTTTTCAACAATAGTGTGAGAGATAAGTATTTGTCAGCTTTTCATCATTTTGACAAAATACCTTGGAAAATCATGTTAAAGGAGGACATTTATTTTGGCCCAGTTTCAGAAATTTCATTTGGTGTTGTGTGGTCCTGTTGCTTTAGGTCCATGATGAGGCAGAACACCATGGCTGGCAGCATGTGGCAAAACATATGTTCACTTCATGGTGGCCAGGAAACAAAGAAAGAGGAAGGGTCTAGGTCCCAATATCTCCTTCAAGGGCCTACCCCTATGGCATAACTTCTTTCACTAGGCTCTGCCTCAAATATTTCTACCACCTCTCCTCGGCGCCACCAGCAGGTAAGCAAGTCTTCAACAAGTGGTCTCTGGGGGACATTTAAGATCCAAATAGTAACAGTATCCTGGTAGGTATTCTTTTCAGAGCTTCCTGGTCAATCTTTGTAGGCTAGACCTCACACTGTGATAACTGTAGTTACTGATATGGGAAATTTAAATGAAAGGGGAATAATAGATCCTAGGGTAGTGGGGCAAAGTGATTGGGGGAAAAATCACTGAAGTTAATGTGGCATAGTTTTCAAAATAGACATCAGAACCAGAGGAGTAATAAGAATAGTCTGCTTGCCTAGACCAATGGCTTTGGTGATCATGGTTTTCCTGTGAGTGAAATAGACAGGAAGTCTATTAACTTTGTACCTAATATGTATAAGCACAAAAGTTCTAGGTCAAGTGAACAAAAACCTAACTTGAATCATAATGATGAAAGAATCTTAGACCCTGAATTAATTCCCAGACTTAGTCAGTTTACAGAAGTCCTTGAGCGAAGCAGAGGCTGGGTCCTTTAAGGAAGGATTTTAGTACATTACTAAGAATTTAGTGTTAAGTGTCTCCCAGTCTTTCCCAAAGGTACCTATAGCCTTTTGACAGGGTTACTATACAAGGTAAAAGACAATAATCAACTTTTGTGGAATACTGGATACTGGCATTGTACTGACACAAATTTCAACAGACCCAAAATGTTAATGTGGCCCACAAAGTGTTGGAACAGTGTCTATGCAGGCCCATCTCCCAGTGTATCCTGTGGCTATTTCTCTTGGTCTAGAATACATACTCAACAGATGGCAAAATCCCCATATTGATTCTCTAACCTGTGAAGTGTAAGCAACTATGGTGGGAAGGCTAAGTAGAAGCCACTAGGACTTATTATCTATTAAACCAAGAGCATTATAGATGCTCTTCAACTTAAGATGGGATTATACCCTGATAAATTCATCCTAAATTGAAAATATCATAAAGTGAAATATGCATTTAATATACTTAACATGCTAGACATCATAACTTAGACTTACCTACCTTAATGGGCTCACAATAGCTTACGGTTGGGCAAAATAATTTAACACAAAGCCTACTTTATAATGAAAGTGTTGAATATCTCACATAATCTATTAGCTTAACAATGGGGATATCTCTGAGGAATGTGTCATTATGCAATTTCATCATTATGCAAACATTAGAGTGTGCTTATACAAACCTAGATGGTAAAGATCAATCACTTGATGTATCCTTTTGAAACAATCCAGAGACATGATAAACATGAGAAATGTAAAGCTTCTGCCACCCTAACATGGTTGCAACTGTATTATTATTATTATTATTTCTGTGGTGCTGGGGATTGAACCCAGGTCCTTGTGTATACGAGGCAAGCACTCTACCAACTGAGCTATATCCCTAGCTCTGCAACTGTGTTTTTTATAAGTAGGAGTATACTCTTACTTTTTTTTTTTTAAAGAGAGAGAGAGAGAGAGAAATTTTTAACATTTATTAGTTTTCGGCGGTCACAACATCTTTGTTTGTATGTGGTGCTGAGGATCGAACCCGGGCCGCACGCATGCCAGGCGAGCACGCTACCGCTTGAGCCACATCCCCAGCCCCGGGTATACTCTTAAAGTATTTTTACAGTCATCTGTTATTCAATGTTATACATAAGGAATGTGTAATGACTGGCACATGTTTCACATGACTGGCAGTGCAGGAGCTTTACCATGAACACATAATGTTCTGTGCTATTATGTTATGATTCCTGTAATGTCACTAGATAATCAGAAATTTTTCTGATTATCTAGTGACATTATAGGATGTATGATGGAACAACATATATGCATTCTGTCAATGACTGAAACATTGTTATGCTGAGTATGACTGTACAGTAATAAAAACAGAATGGTTGTATATGGTACAGGAGACAGCGATTGGCATTTTGTAGACTTAAGGTATGAAAACACAAAACACAATTGCCAAAATGCTGGAAACACACTAGAGTATTGGTTGTTTTCCCTCCTTATCATGTGGAATATGGAGAGCTGTGGCTGGCTACTACTGCTCAGCATGCAAGAGAGTATTATAACCCATAGCTCTGGCCTGGGAGGATCAAAATTCAAAAGCTGAAGTGCTGTTTCTATTTAACGTGTGCCGCTTTGGCAAAATTTTACATTTGAAATAATTGTAAACCAAGGATCATTAGTACTAAATTCTTAAGGGTCTTGAAGAGATCAATGCTATAAGTTCTCAAAGGATGCAGGGGTGGTGATCCTTACCACATCCCTATTCAACTCACCTATTTAATCAGTGCAGAAGACAGATGGAATTTGGAGAATGATTGGATAATCCTAAGTTTAACTAGGGGATGGCTCCCATTGCAGTTGCAGTACCAAAAGTGTTTTCATTGTTTGAACAAATTAATGCAGTTCTTGGTTTCTAGTACCTAACTACTGATCTGACAAATTTCTTTTTCTTCATCTTTATTTACAAAGCTGAGCAGAAGCATTTTGCTTTCAGCTGGTAAGGCCTAACTCAGAAGTATATAAAAATTATCCACCCTATGTCATAATTTAGTACACAGAAATATTAATTGCTTTCTCCTTCCACAAGGTATTACATTGGTCCATTACATAGATATTAGGCTGACTGGAGTCATTGACTCGGAAGTAATTTAATCTTATGAGTAAGACATTTGCATGCCAGAATATAATCTGGCAAAAATTCAAGGACCTCAGTAAAATTTCTAGGGGTCTGGTGATATATGTTGAGATATCACATCTAAGGTGAAGGGAATGTGGTTGCATCTGCCCCTTCCCATAACCACAAAAGAGGTACACCACCTAGTGGGCCTCTTTGAATTTTGGAAGAAATGTATTCTTTATTTGGGTGTGTTACTGTGGTCGATACTGAGTGACCTGAAAAACTGCTAGTTTTGAGTAGGGCCCAGAACAGAATAGGAGGAAGGTCTGTAATAGGTCCAGACTATTGCTCAAGCTTCTCAGCTGCTCAGGCTACATAATCTGTCAGATCTAATGACACTTGAAATGTCACTTGCAGATAGGGATGTTCTTTGGAGCTCATAGTAGATCTCTATAGGTAAATCAAGGGGTATATCCTTTTTGGAGCAAAGACCTTTGTAAATAAGTACACTCCTTTTGAGAAACAGCTCATGGCCTGCTGTTTAGGCCTTAGTGGAAATATAACACTTGTCCACAGGCCACCAGTTATCATGTAACCTGAGCTACTAATTGTGAACTGGATGTTATCTGATCCAAGCCATAAAGTTGGATGTAAATAGCAGCACCCCATCATTAAATGAAACTGGTATATAGGTGATAGGGCCCAAACAGGCCACAAAAGTACAAGTTACATGAAGAATTAGCCCATATGCCCACTACTGCCTTTTCTTTGCCGTTCTGTACCTGTGACCTTGTAGGAGTTTCCTATAATCAGTTGATAGAGGAGAAGACTTGTGCTTTTTTTTGTAGATGGTTCGATATGATATGCAGCCACTACCCTCTACAGTGGAGAGCTGTAACACTGTGGCCATTTTCTGGGACATTTGGGTATGACAGTGGTGAAGGGAAACCCTTCCAGTAAGCAGAACTTCCAGCAGTGCACCTGTGTGTTTACTTTGCTGTTACTTCAGCTTGACTAAAAGCAGTCTTAAACCATTTGATTTTATTGGACAATTTTTCTAATTTCTGTTTTATTCTAAACCTATTTCAAATAATCACAGCTTAAAATTCAACCATGTATTAAGGTTTGACAAAATAATTTATTAAGAAAAACTATTCTGTGATTGTCTGTTAGTCCATCAACATTACAAAAATGGTGTTTTACAATCACACAATTGTGCAAATCAGATATAGCAGAGGGAGAATTACCACTTTCTAAAGAGTATCATTTGTGATTACTGGGAACAAGGGCCAGTATCGTGGTGGTGGAAGGAACAAAGAAAATAAATATATCTTAAAGAAGAATTAATGTAGCTTCATAAAATGAAAATTTAATAACTGAGTAAATTTACTCTGTGATTTTATTTCATATTACACAAATACTAAACAAAGTTTCAGTAGATATACAAATCAAGTTCTCTAAAGAGGTTACTTGCAAAGTTTCTAAGATTTTTAGCATATCTAATAATTATTCGAAGAATTTGTTAAAAGTGCAGGTTTATAAGCCTAATTACAAATTAAGATAGAGTCTAGGAATCTGTAAATTATTAAATAACTCAGTGACTTTGATAAACGATAATGAGGTTACTAAGAGTTAAGTCTGTCCTTATTTCATGTTTGAATTGGACAAATGATGATGAGTAGGTCAGAATAGACATTATTAGTAAATCAAAGCAGAAGCAAGAATGAGCAAAATGTATTTAAGCCTTTCTGATCCTTTTCAGATTAGAAAAGACTCCAGAATCAAGCTAAAATAATCTGATAATTAGAAACTTGAAACTGAGGTTACAGAATAGGGGAATAATAATCTGAATGGTCATTTTTAAAGAGATGCTAATTTGATGGTGTGTACTGAAAACCAAAAAGCCAATTAGAATGTTTAGAATTAAATAATAAAGTATAAGGAGTTACTTTACAATAGAAAATGTCATCAGAAATTTTGGTTAAAAAAAAAAAAAGTTGAACTCCCTCCTAACTGAAAAAAGTTGAACTTCCTTTACATATCTGAGGATAGGAAGCTCAAATGCTCAAATTCACATTAAATATAACATTATAAGACACCCATTGTAAACATAATAATAACATCAACAATAATAGCAGTAAGTATAAAATAATCTTCAACAGGGTTTTCAGACATTTACTTGCATGATTCTTGACACTGCACAGGAGTTCAGTAGCAGTTTGAATTGCCTAGGAAGATTATTAAGAAGTATTATTATTTTTTTAAATTAAAACAAATTTCATCAAGTGTTATAAATTAAAAAGAGCCTTCTTATGTTCTAGAAGGCAGATGAAACAATATTTATACTCTGCAGCTTAATTTTGTTTATAGTTCTTTATATACTATTTAACCTACTTGGATTTATAGTGAAAGACACAAAGATTCAGCCAAAAGAGAAAATTTGCTTCTGCAAAACTACAAATTAGAAAATTATTATTAAAGGCCTAAGAGACATTTAGGTTAAAATGTAAATGTTTTATACAGGGAATAAAAAATTTGGCAGGGAGAATATAGAAGCAAAAAAGTAAAACAAGGCTTCAAGGAAGATCTAATTTTAAAGGGGCTTAAAGAATAGACAGGATCTAGATATACAGAAAGAGTATGACAGGAGGAAAAAAAGCATTATATGAATCAATCTTAGGAAGAATTTCTTATCTATAAAGGTATCAACAAATTTCCACAGTTCATAAAAAAAGGTAAGTTGCTAAATGCTGTGAAAGCAAATCCAAAGGAAGAGGACAGTTCTATACATGTACTCATTTCTTACCTTCTTTTAATGGAGTTTTGAGGGCAAAATTTTCTTTACTTTCATGATGAAAGGCCTTTGAAGGATCAAAGTGTTTGATACCCAGAACTTTATTCAATTCCTCCTGAAGTTTTCTCTCATTTTGTTTCTTTTTAGCAAGCTGAGATCGGAGTTTTGACACCTCCTACATGAGAAAAGTATAGAGAATAAACAATTATTAAAGATCATGTAGGTAGAAATGTATTATTACCAACGTTGCAGGCAAACTGGGCAAAAATCACTATTACACTTTAAAAATGAATTACAAAATGCCTTTGAACAGCTATGCAAGTGAGATAGACTTTTAAGTCTTTTTGTTTCTCTGTAAGTACAAAGTTATTTTTCTAATAAAAGTTCTACTCAAAAGAAATTGCAGAAATCAACTACTGGCATGATACCATACAAGCTCTGCTAACTTACTTTCTAGTGAAAAAATTTATAAAAAGGCAATCAATTAAGGCCTCTGAAAAATGGCTACAAAGGCAAAATACTAAATGAAGAAACATTTATTCAAAAAGATCCACAAAAAAATCTGTAGGAAACCTGAAAGTCTGGGGAATTTCAACCCCAACTGCTCTAGCCACACAATCCTTCCTTCCCTCCCAACTTCCACAGACTTCTTGCCAGCAAGATCAAGGCATCAGACTTTCTCATCTTGCCCAAATTCTATTGCTGTAGTTATATCCTGTGCAAATGCAGCTGAGGGTGGAAAATCCCTTCTTCTGCTCAACCTCACCTATGGTACAGGGGTTTGACTAGGACACAGTATGTTGAAAATACTGTGACCCTGATCACCCTTGCTCAGGCACAATTTCATGCCAGAAAAGGCAAGCTGAGAAACTTTCCTTGCAAGATCTCAGCTCTAAGGGCAGATGTAAAATTCAAAAAACCTCCCACTATCCCCAATTTCAGTTCTAGAATTATAGCTCAGATATTGTCTGAAGGAAAAATACACCATAAAATAGCTCCTAATTTCTTTCCAAGGGAAGTGATTTCATTTGGAAGAGATTTCACATGCAGAGATGAAGCCTAAGTGTGCTCTAAAGAGCAGAGGTGGTTGTGGTGAAAAGGAACTGGGAGAAGATTAGGGGTAGTCTAAATTGTAAGTGGCTAATTTTGTAGGACAGAAATGGGGAATAAAACAGCTGGGATGAGCCTTTCCAGAATCAGAATAAATACCACACAGTACTCTCATATATCACTCCTACAAATGAACCAGAATTTGATTGGATTAATATATTTTTTTTAAAAGAGAGAGTGAGAGAGGGGGAGGGGGGGGGGGGGAGGGAGGGGGAGAGAGAGAGAGAGAGAGAGAGAGAGAGAGAGAGAGAATTTTTTTTTTAATATTTATTTTGTTTGTATGTGGTGTTGAGGATCGAACCCCGGGCCGCACGCATGCCAGGCGAGCGCGCTACCGCTTAAGCCACATCCCCAGGCCCTGATTGGATTAATATTGTAGGCAATTTGTATGCCTTAGAACACTACTGAAAACAGCCATGAACCAGCAACTAGTAGAGTTATCAGTCATGTGTGTCAGTAAAAGACAGGAAGATAGCACTACCAAAGCAAGACTTACGCCAGAGTAACTAAGCATACCCAAACTATACCTCCCTGAATAGCAACATCAGAGGTACAACAGTGTTGGGAGGCAAGGTTGTCATGTTTGGCAGTATTCACCCTAGATCAACATTATTAGACAAGTGAAAACTACAAGGCAGGTATTAATTTATACACACTAGAATGGCTAGAATCAAAATGTTAGGTGATATCAAATAATGGTGAGCATATGGAAAAAAATGAAACCCTATATTGCTGATAGAAAGTAAAATGGTATAGCCCCTTTAGAAAACAGTTCTTTAAATGATTAAACAGAGCTACCATAAAACCCACCAATTTCACTCTTGGGCATATAACCCAGAAAAATAAAAATACATGTCCATATAAAAACTTGGATTTTTTTTTAGGGGGAGTATATTGGGGATTGAATGCCAGCGTGCTTTACCACTGAGCTACATACCCAGTCCTTTTTTTTGAGACAGGGTATTGCCAAGTTCCTGAGGCTATCCTCAAACTTGGGATCCTTCTGTATTAGCCTCCCCAGTTGCTGGGATTACTGGCTACTGCCCCTGGAGAAAAAACTTGTATGGAAATGATTACAGTACGATTATTATAATAGCCAAAAGGCAGAAAAAACTCCAAATGGCCATTAACGGATGAATACATAAATGTTTATTCACACAATGAATTATTATTAGTCCATAAAAAATGAATGAAGTACCAAAACATTCTACAACATGGATGAATCTTAAAAATATTATGCTGCTTCAAAGAAGACAGTCAAAAAGACTACCTATTATTTGAGGCAATCAATTAGTAGTTGCTTAAGGTTGAGGCTGGGATAGAATGAGGAGATAAGAGGGTAATGGTAAAAAGAACAGGATTTTATTTTGAGGTGATAAAAAGTGATCTATAATCGTGATGCTGCTGCACACATCTGTGAATATACTAAAAACCACAAGTTGTGTATTTTAAGTGGGGGAATTATATGGGATATGAATTATATCTCAGTAAGCCTATTAAAAATTTAAGCATCTTGGGCCAGGGGTGTGGCTCAATGGTAGAGCACTTGCCTAGCATGCGTGAGGCACTGGGTTCCATCCCCGGCACCACATAAAAATAAAACAATTAAAATAAAGGGTATTATGTTCATCTACAACTTAAAAAAAAATTAAGTATACAAGTGTTTTTGAACATTGTTTGCTTTTATGGTATTTACATCAAGGAATTTGCTATTTTGCATACAGAAATGGATGTGTAAAGCTTTATACATTCTTCCAACTACACCAGTAATTTTAAATGTATTAAACCATAGCTGGAAAACCTGAGAACACTGAATATCCACCTCGTAAACACTAAAATAAATCCATTAATTCTCTGAATTTTCTCTGTAAACTGTTATTTTTTTTCTGAAATAGAAGACTTTCATCATACTTAAATATTATTAATAAGATATTAAGCCTTTAACTTGAATACTAAATAAAACTAAATGCTATTAATAAAACTAAATGCTATTTTACAAACCGATTTCAGTTGGCTATTTTCATCTTTCAATTTCACAACATGCTTGATTTTTTGCTTCAGATTCTGATGACCCAATAATTCCGCATATGAATCTCTTATTTTATTTAGCTGCTCCTGAGTTGCACCATGTTCACTCAACAAAGCCTGTTTCTCTGCTTCAAATGCATCCAGTTGAAGCTAGAAAAGATTTTTTAAATGAAATAAAGACTTAAAATTATTAAATTTTACAGGTTTCATACAGAGCATAAAAAACTAAACCCCAAACCAAACCAAACCACAGTATGCTTACCTATTTTCAAGGATCTCAACAGATTTTCTGATAAATCTTTTAAATTTTTTAGTTTTCATTTTAAATATCATTAAGACAGAGGAAAAGAAACAAGAAAACCAACTAGATCTATCTGATACAGATAGATCTCAAGTTATAACCAATGTGTTTCTACTGTATTTAAGTGCCAAACTTAGCATTTATCCATTTCTTCTCTTAAAATGATACTATTTGAGCTGGGTGCAGTGTTGCTTGCCTGTAAAGCCAGTGGCTCGGGAGGCTGAGGCAGGAGGATCATGAGTTCAAAGCCAGCATCAGCAACAGGGAGGTGCTAAACAACTCAGTGAGACCCTGTCTCTAAATAAAATACAAAATAGGGCTGGAGACGTGGTTCAGTGGTCAAGTGCCCCTGAGTTCCAATTCCTGGTACCCCCACCCCCCAAAAAGATAGTATTTGAGATAGATCATAACAAAATGCATATCACAAAGTAACATAGATTAATCATCGAAAGTTTATTATCAGGACAGCCTTCTGATTGAACTCTGGGGTACTTGTCCACTGAGCCACATCCCCAGCCCTACTTTTGTACTTTTTAAGTTAGAGACAGGGTCTCAACTGAGTTATTTAGTGCCTCGCTGTTGCTGAGTCTGGCTCTGAACTCTTGATTCTCCTGCCTCAGCCTCCTGAGCCACAGGGATTATAGCATACGCTACTGTGCCTGGCTAGAAAGCAACTTTTAACCTGTAAAGAGTATATTAAAAACTTATGCGGGCTGGGGTTATGGCTCAATAGTACAGTACTTGCCTAGTGAGGCACTGGGTTCGATTCTCAACACCACATATAAACACATAAATGAATAAAGGTGAATCAATAATTAATAAAAAAGACAAGGGCATGAAAATTTAAGTCTGGTAAAATTTTAAATTATATTTCAATAAAGGTGGACAAATTTTATGCATAATCCATTTTATAAATCTTTAATTGGAACTTAAAATAAACACATATAAGTTTAATTCTAAGAGACAAACCTGAAAAGGTTTTGTTTTCTTATACAGTTCTTCATAAAGGAGACGCCATTTATTAACTTCCTCAGTTAATTCTGCCACTGTGTTTTCTTTCCCAACTTTTCTATATGGGAAAATTAAATTAAGAAAACATTAATTATAAAAATTAATTACGAATTAGAAAAAATAACCATTCATGGTACTCACTTTCCCATTCTAACTTACCTTACTTCTTCCTCTTCCAGTTGCTTCTTAAAGTCTTCATCTTGTTGTTTGAGTTGGTTCTGCAAATCAGTTATCTTTTTAAGAGAAGAAACTGTCATTTCTTTAATTTCTACTTCTTTCAGTGCTGATTTGTTCTGTAGATCTACAAGCATCCTTTGAATTTGAGAGAAAAGTCACTAAATATTTTAGACATTGATTTTTCTTTCACGTCTTGCTTTTTAAAATCAAACTAAAATACCCCAAATAACTCAAGTATCTTAATTTTATGGATTTAAAAAAAATTATAATTTAAGATGACCAAAAGCAAGCCATGGGACAATTCCCTGCACCACTTAGTAGCTGGATTTTGACAATATTAAGAAGTTTTAATGGTTCTAAGATATTAGTGTGAGCAAGCAGCTTATTCATACCTTGCATATTCTTGATTTGTGCTTTCAGTTGTCAGTATCTGATGTTGAACATCCTCTGCTCTTTTTTCAGCCTTGGCCACTTTTTCCTGTAGTGATGAGTTCTCCAGTCTAAGATCTTCTAGCTCACTAATTATTAATGCTTTATAGCTTATTAAAAAGAAAAACAAAGTTAAAGTATTTTTCTAACTACTATGAAAATGACAAATAGAGTGAATCAGTTTATATTTTACATACTCTTCAGCAAAGTTAACAAAACTTTATAATATATTCCTGCACTTACCCAAGTAGGAATTCAGACTTCTAAGGTAAGTGTTATGAAGGGAATATACAAAGCACTTTATGTTGGTAAAATAGGGGAACCTACATTTTGGTTGGTGATTCAGAAAAGGCCTTTCTAAGAAATTTAGAATTAAGCTGAGACATGATGTGTAAGGAGGCATTAGCTAGGCAGTTAGGGGAAAGTATTTCAGAGGATAAAGCTGATATGAAACTGAGGTAGAACAAAGTCCACTAAGGGGTCAGAATGGAATCTAATGAATAAGAGAGGCAGAAACAGAAGCCAGAGGCATGAAGCCAATCAGGGGCACAATGGGTTTACCTAAAGAATAAGGGAGAACCATTAATTTGTATGTAGATTACTCCAGAGATATGTGGAGGATGGATCCTGAAAATTGGAGGATAGAAAACCAGGAGATCAGAAGGAAGACAATTATTTATCATCCCAGGTGAGCAATTACGGAGGCTTAAACTAAGGTGTTAACAATGGAAAGATGGGAGATCTCTTTTGTAGGCAGAACAGAAAAACTAAAGAGATTAATTGGATGTTGGTGGAAAGGGAAAGAAAAACAAGTCTAGGATTTATGGAGTGAAAGGCTGGAAGATGAAGATGTTATTGCTTGCAATTAAAAAAAAAACGTGATAAAACAATGAGAGAATAGAGGCAGAAAGAGAAAGAAGACCAATAATTATTTGATGCAGGTTATTATCAGGCAATAATAAAATATCTACTTCAATATATCAAGTACACAGAGATGTATGATATGGAGCTGAAAAGATAAGTGTGTTTGAAGAAAGAAATTTTCCTGTCATTAGCATACTGATAATATAGAATGAATTAAGACTTCCTGAAGCACTATTTTTTTAAAAAGTTTTTTTTATAGTTGTACATAGACAGAATGCCTTTATTTTATTTGTTTACTTTTATGTGGTGCTTAGGATTGAACCCAGTGTCTCACACCAGCTAGGCAAGTGCTCTGCCACTAAGCTATAGTCCCTCCCCTGAAGCACTATTTTTAAGCCAGTCCCCCCCCCCCACACCCCCCAGTGTCTCATTAAGTCACCAGGCTGGCCTCAAACTTGTCCTCCTACTGTCTTAGTCTCCCATGTTGCTCTAAAGCACTATTTTTTAAACCACTGAGAAGAAAAATTCCTTTAGAGGACACTGTGATTGTGTTATTTACATATATGTTCTGATATATAAAAGTTTTTAGTGAAATATATAAAAATATATATTATTTATCTACATGTTTACCAGAATGTTTCATATAGAGGAATACATCACTAGGAAGGAAGTAGTATTCAATGAATAGGTAGTAGGCAACTATTTCTCCATAGGGACAAACAAAAAGAAATTTAATCTTCGTAACATTGTACACACAGTAATCAGTTGTAGGCAAAAAAATGAAAGTAAAACTTGAAACTTTAAGAAGAAAAATAGGTAAATATCTTCATGTTGCTGGGATAGAAAGAAGTTCTTATAAAATTTATAAATTTAAAAGAATAATTAAAATTTCCAAATTTAAAATCAAGAATTTCCACCCATCATAAGAAACCATGAAGAAAATGCAGACAGGCTACACTGTGGAAGAAAATATTTACAACTCATAGTGCTGATGAATTATCTACAATACAAAGTCATTTTACATTAGCATAGTGGCAAAATTTTAAAAGTACAGCAGCTTTGGTGAGAAAGTAGAACACTGGGTATATTCTTACCCTCACTTTAATAACCAAAACATAAATAAATAAATTTAAAAAAGGAAACAGCCCAAATGTGCAAAGTAAGAATGCACAAAAAATTGTGGTATGTTCATACTCAGATATTCACAGCATGACCATGAACAAACTATATTCTCATGAAACAATATAATTCTGTTCTAGAAATACATAAGGCAGAGTGAAAAAGCAAGTCAAGTCATAGGAAATGACATATGGTATGATGACAATTTCTGTTGATGCTAAGAGTATAATTAGATAAGTGATATTTGTATGGGTATACATGTTATAAAACTATAATGCATGGGGAAAAAGGTGAGAAAATACTAAATGGAGGCTTTGAGACAGTGTTACCTGTTCAGAAATGGCATAGAGATGAAACTCATACAACCAAGTTGTTGAATATCATTATACTTAATGGTTGTCTTTCATGGGTTCACATGTATTGATTTTATACTTTATGCTTTATTATTCATGTATATTCTTTTGTGTCTAATATATATATATTAAAGTGGCAGAAACCTCCTCCCCAAATGGTCTAAACTATGATAAACAAAAATATTAATACACTGTTATATTTTGCAATTAAACTTCTTTTATTTAAAGGAAAAATAGCAAGAGGTAAAGAAGTAGATAAAATACGCAGACAGATAAGCTTTTATTAAGAAGATGGACTGGGAATAGGAATATAATTTTAGGTTAAGACATGTTAGAAATGATTTGTATTGGACATGTACAAGAAGCAAGGAAGGGTCAAGGAGATTTTTTTTTTAAATCATGCATTTTAAAGATGACTGCACATTAACATTAATTCATATTGATGGGGAAAATTCCAGTAGAAAGGTTGAAAATTTTGAGAAACAAGGATCAAATATATAGTGATGTCACTGAAGGTTAAAAGATAGAAATAATCTAGTAGGTAAGAAGACAGTATGACTTTATAGCCATGTGGGTGTTTTTTAAGTTTGATGAGGACATAAAAGTTTTTGAATTTAAGCAAACAATATCAGGGAAGTAAAATAGAAGTGTCAAAAGTTCAAGAATGCATGAAATTAAAACTAGATAGTGGGAGTGGAACATTTCTGAATAAATATAGTGACCAATTTATGGCAAGTCATTATGGTATGGAAAGTAATAACCAAGTGTCATAGAACACGCCTATAATTACAGTAACTTGGGAGACTGGGAAACTGAGACAAGAGGATTACAAGTTCCCAGACCAACAAGTTAGTGAAACTGTCTCAAGATAACAAAAAGGGCTGGGGATATAGCTCAGTGATAGAGCACTGTTGAGTTGAATCCCAAGGACCACAAAACAAAACAACAACAAAAATAATTTAAAGTAGTACCAGCCATCCTTTGTGTGATTACTTTGTTCACAGATTTCTGTAGATAAACACTTCTCCCTGCTCACATTATATTTGAGAGTAAAGGCTCCTAAGAAAAATACCTTTCAAATTGAGCAGTAACATCTCCAAGGTTTTGCACTGTACTATTATACCTTTCCTGCAAAATTAGGGTGGCCTGCATGTGAGCAGCATCATTTTTCTCCATTTCAGCTTCCTTCCTAAGAAAAAGAAAAATTTAGAAGATAAAACGCTAACAACAGATCATTAAGAAAGAGAATACATAGGAAATGTGAATCATACAACTCCTATCAGGACCTGCATTAGTTTAGAGTTTATGGCCTAATTCTCACATTTTTATTTACTGTACTAAGAGTACCGGCTTCATCTTATTTCTTCTGCTCTTATTTTACTCTTTTTCATCCAAATTTATGCATTACTAAATTCCTTTTTTCATATCATATGCATTTAAGTGGGTGTTTAAAATTTGGGGGACAGGAGGTAAGTAAAAGCCCTAATGCAGAATCTTAACAACAAAAGCCCAAAATTACAAGTTAAAAAGTACCCAGATTTACTCAAGTTTCATTCTCTGCACTTAGACACTAATACTAAATATAGTTAAACACTTCTTTTTAAAAGTTCTTTTGGAAAAAGAGTTATAAGATTCTGTGGATTATTCTGATTATATGATTAATCCACATAATTGTTATAAAAAATTCAACACTTAAATGGATTATTTTATATTGACAAAATAAATTAAGTCATCTTTATATATTATAAATCACAGAATTTTTTGAAATATTCATGATAGATTATCAAAATGGTGAAAAAGTTTTTACATAGTTATCTGAGCTTATGAGAAACCTTTTAAAGAATATACAAAAGTAAAACTGTAATAAGCATTGTGTACTTACAAACTAGGTAGGACACTGAAATAAGATAAATAGTTAATCAGGTTCATTAAGCAATGAGTTTAGATTTTTAAAATATACACATCACAGCAAAAGCTATCAAATGTTACTAAAGGGTTTGTAATAAAAACATTTTCTTCATTATCCTTTAGAGAAATTACTTTCAATCCTTAGTTGATATTTTCCTAAGCCTGAAATTTCTAGTCTAGGAGAGACCCTAGAGATCATCTTATAATTAAATTTCTTTATTTTATAGAAAATGACAGAAACTAATGATGTTTTGCTCAGAATCAGACAGTTAGTTAACAGATGCAGTAATAAAATTCTTATGTCTTGAATGCTACACCAGAGTTCTTTGTCTTTAGGATAAATGTCTCAACTATCCTCTGTGAAATTGATATCTACTCAGTTTCTTAAGGTTCCTGTTCTTTAAGACTGGGAGCAGTACAGAACAATCCCCCTAGTTATACTTTTGTACTGTTTCCAAAAAACCAGGTATAAACTCTTAAGTGTTCTTTGCCATCACCAATCACAAAAAAATAGAAAAGAGATTAATAACAAAAAAAAATCCAACAAGAAAAAGTGGGAGATTTACTATAATAATATAGGTTCATATCTAATCCATGGTTCCTTACTAATAAAATGTTTTAGTGATGAGTTCCCAAGGATTTGCAATTCAAATTCAAGAATCAAAATGGATATTTTAATATAAATACATAAACTGGTGAAAGAGGTATAATATAATGAAAGGAATATAAAATTAGAATCAAAAACCAAAATGAGATCTCAGATTTTCTACTTTGATAAATTTCTTATTTTTTAATGTTTTCCATTTCTGGTGTTTTTTTCCCCATTTTGTTTTTTGATTGCTGCCTCATGAAATGTAATGAAAAGTACAACTTATACTATGTAAATTGATGTACACATAGATAAAAAAATGCAATCCATTTTATTATTAAAGGGTAGAGTTATTAGTTTTTTTTTCCCCTAAATTCATCATTGTAAAGCTGATGTACAGTGACTTTTAGAATACATAAGAGTAGTAAAATAGCACAAAGCTTCTGTCATTTGTTAACTAAAACTACTTCTGGCTTTAAAAATTTAAGAAGGGACAATACTTTTTATTTTAGCTGTCATATTGGCTTGCACAGACATTCTTTGCATGTATAGACTTTGTCTCTGTCTATTCCTTCTTGAAAAGTAATTTCAATCTCACATATTCACAATTGAGGTGAGAATCTTAAAAAAATAAACCAGGAAATAATTTTAAACATCTCAAATCATATATAAATAAGAGGTACACTATTAATACGAACTCTTTCAACTGTTCTTCTAAGAGTTTTAGTTCTTCTGCTGTAGTTTTTGTTTCCTCTTCCAACTGTTTGACCAGTCTTTCAGTTTGTTCTTCCTTTTGCTGAACTAGATCTAGTTCTTCCAGTGCAAGTTTTAATTCTTCCTTAAAAAGAGTTCTTTCTTTAATCATTTCTTCTTGATAAAAAAATAGCTTCTGCTGAAGACTAGAAGATAATTCCTATATCCAAAAAGATAACCAACAAAATAATTTGGAATGGCATTCTTAGGTTTTATGAAGAGACAAAAAAATTATATATAT